GGGGTTACATAGACATACAGCACGCCTGCCAGTTAGGTGCTATTTATTGCTACGATGTTCAGCAGATTTTTTTCCCAATACCAGGTGTTTGGGGGCTCCGTTGGCTGAGTACATTTGTGAGCTCAGGCAAACAATAATGTCAGGTATGTGTCGGTGACACGGCTGGTAGGCTGGTGATTTCTGGGGTAGGTCCATATTTAGCAACACACGATAACTCAAGCTCAAAAACAAGGCACTGCTCTTGGGTACCAGCAATGATGTATGGATGGACTATGCCTGTGATACTGAGTATAATTCACGTACTTGTGTTTAAGTGTATTGTGTATTTATGTACGCCGAGGTAAAACAAATATCTCGATGAAATGAATGAAGGTACATTTATTTACAATTACTCTTTATCATTTTAAGCCCCCCCCCGCCCAAGTTGAAGAAAAGACAGCTTTTCCATCGCACTTTAGTTTTTATAGCCTGTGTATATGATGATGATGATGGAGATATTTCCGATATTGTCCAAACCACACCAATGCGTAACTTATAGTGAACACTTTGTTGCTGTGTGTGTGTGTGTGTGTATGTGTTTGTCCAGCATGAAACTATAAAACTATATTCTGAACGCCAAGAAAACAGAATGCAGGGTGATTTTAATAAGCGCTGATATACCAGATTGCACCCTCTGTTGTAAGAACGAAAAAATAATACAGTCAACAGCTTTATATACCTTAGTCGCACATAATTACACCTGGCAGATTCAAAACGTGACACAGAGATACAAAAGTGAAAAGTGCTTTATCTTAAAAAAGAAACACAACAGTAAACAAGAAAATGAGAACCCTGAAAGTCAACGTGTTGTCTATGCTTCTGTGTGATCCCAGAGAAGAATAGATGCCGCTGAAATGTGACATGTAAGGAGAATGCTCAGAATCTCATGGACAGAGAAGAATACAAATAGTATAGGGCAGTGCTCCAAATGGTAGGTTGGGAAAGATCTGTAATCACAATCACCAGTAAAAGACCTCCGAGATTCTTTGTTGACCACATAAAACAAAATGTGGACTAGACATACTGTGGAAAGAACAACAAAGGAAGACAAAGACCATCATATACACGGATGGCCTGAACAACTTGGCAAAAGAAAAAGAAAAAAAACACAATGACGAAAAACACAAGCTGATCAAGAAGACAGAGGACAGAAAGGTGTGGGGTACCATGGTCGTCAATGTTTGCTCCAGACTGGTAGCTGAAGAAGTAGACAAAAGAATTTATAGACAGACTTGCGCACAAAGGAACCCACAAAGACGCTCGCCTCTGACCTTGTTGGGTACAGGCAAGGCCTCACGCACCCCCTCCTCTGCCTTCTCTTCACTGGGAACCTCCAGCTCCTCCTGGGCCCAGGTCATGGAGGTCAAGGCTACCAGGGTCAGGGCCAAGGTGAAGGTCAAGGTCTTGGGATTCATTGCGGTTGATGTTGTTGTTTTGGATACACCGACTCTGTTGAAACAATGACATGGTAAGGTCATGGTAGAATATACATGCCTTACAGTTACAGTGATGTGTGTCGGTCTGTATGTCTGCCTCACTCTCTCTCTCTCTCTCTCTCTCTCT